GCGGGCTGAATAATGTTGACTCATGTTAGAAAATGTCAGTTTTCATTGTTACACAAAGCTGCTAAAAAATGTGTAAAAGGACGAAGGGGTCTGAAGCGACTGCATGCTCACAGTGTTGTGTGAGCTATGATGAGCTGTTTAAACAACATCCAGGGAATTTCCAGTTGGATGGAACTGAAAGCACCAAGTGCACGAAGTGCTTTCAGTTTTGATTGCCTATTATTTTTAAATTGAAAACACCTTTAAGAACAGTGATCACTCTATTAACAATGACATACATAACCATATTAGGACTACCTTATGTCACAGGTTCTATAAGATGACGCAGATTTAATTAGCAAAGGAGCAAAGACTGCAAATATCAAGAGTAGGTTTAAAAAGTGAAACGTAACATCTTACCCTGTTGGCACAGCTTGTGTCGCTTTAGTTTCTGGTACTTTCCTTCTTCTTTTACTTCCCAACTGGTATGGGAACAGCAACCTAAAAGTAAAAGGGATGAACTTAGTAAGTTATTGCTTAAACCTGTGGACAAAATGTGAACCATCACAGAAAATCTAACTAAGCTTCCTAAATGCACAGAAATATAGAGAAACATATATAGTGACAACTTATTGTCATCACATAGACACAATTTATTTTTATTTTATTTTATTCTACCTCAGGGAAACCTATCATCAGTGGCCATTATATATTATATATGTGTGTGTACCGAAGGAGTTACGAATTAAAAAATAAAATATACACCACTTAAAAACAAAGAGTGAGCTCACGTACCCGTTTAAATAAAGCTTCAATAAAGCTTCACACATGACTTCGACTGTACTTGGAGATCTAAAGGATGAAGAAGAACAGCAGACAGCATGCATGCAGTTTAATTTTAGCATGCTACAATAAAGTGCTGTACTCGACAGAAACAGTTTACACTACAAACAAAACAAAACAAAACAAAACTATAACACAAGTCTTATGAGTGTATAAAGCAAGATTTGAATACCTAACTGGTGTGCAAACAGGGACACTAACGCGTACTCACCGCTCCTCAGCAGGACCGCTAAGCGACGACTGTACTAACCTCGAGGAAGTGACATGACAGGAAGTCAGTCGAACATCGCGCAGAGGAAATGTTTTTCTTTCTTTTCTTTTATTTTTTAAAAATCACGCAGAGAAAATAAAAGCTCACGACACAATAGAAACACCTACACACACACACACACATACACACACACACACACTACACACACAAACCACACAACCCAGCCTCACACTGACGACACACACACTACACACACATAGGGAGAGAATAAGAGAGAGAGTTTCTACTTTTTCTGCGTTAACAATTCACTTCACTGATATAAATAATTAAATAAATCTATAGCAAACATCCGCTTAAATGCTGCTTATCGATAAATGAATCAACAAATACAACAGCATAATGCATAATGTAGTTCACTCTTCTATGGATGCTCCGTCAATGCTTACTTTTAATTCATTATTATACTCTTCTGCGAGCAAGAAATCTTAGTCTTCATCCTCTACAGCAGTGGTTCTCAAACATTTAGTAAACAATTAAGCAAATACAAGTAATCTGCAATAAATTACAGGTAGTAAGAAAATAAACTACTTAACTCTTTTACCTACGTCCACACCTACACAGGTATTTTTGAAAACGCAGCTGTTTCATCCACACGTAAACGGCGTTTCGAATCACCGAAAACTGAGATTTTTTAAAACTCCTTTTTTGCATTTACGTGTGGACGAGGAATACAGAGTTCGTCACGCAACGTCAAAGGTATGTGCCTTTTTCACGTCACGCTGTGCGCCACGTTATTGTTTACATGAGATGAATTGCAGAATGGCAGATAGAGACAAAATACTGTTAATCTGACTGTCTGCAGGTTTTAGCTTACATATACACACGCAGTTAATGCGTCAAGGTGTGATTATTTTACATGTAGTTGTTTTTTTCCTGTGTAATAATATTCAACATTGCTATCAATACATTTTTCAAAAAATGCCTCTCTGTGCAAAATAGGTTTAAAAACATAAACAACTGTGGGATACTGTTTGTCCGTGATTTGACAGCCCAGCGCTGCTCCCGACGAAGGGAAAACCAATCCTGCAGGGGAGACCTACCTTGTGCAGGTGAAACCAAAGGGAAGATGTGCTTCACCATATTTTCTAGTCTTTGACTTAGAATGAAGTTGGTTTGGAAACATATTCAGCTATGCTTCATCTCCTGCTTTGCGTTTGTGTGGGCGCCCCGTGCTAGCAGTGTCCAAGCATTGTTTTTTTTTTCCCCTAGGGGGCGGGCCCTAGGAAAGGTCTGCTCTACAGCAAATTACAAGTATCCGGCTGGGATAATAAGCTGGCAAAGGAGAATAAAAAGCACTTGCTCAAGACAAAAACTATATATACAGGGAGTGCAGAATTATTAGGCAAGTTGTATTTTTGAGGAATAATTTTATTATTGAACAACAACCATGTTCTCAATGAACCCAAAAAACTCATTAATATCAAAGCTGAATGTTTTTGGAAGTAGTTTTTAGTTTGTTTTTAGTTTTAGCTATTTTAGGGGGATATCTGTGTGTGCAGGTGACTATTACTGTGCATAATTATTAGGCAACTTAACAAAAAACAAATATATACCCATTTCAATTATTTATTTTTACCAGTGACACCAATATAACATCTCCACATTCACAAATATACATTTCTGACATTCAAAAACAAAACAAAAACAAATCAGCGACCAATATAGCCACCTTTCTTTGCAAGGACACTCAAAAGCCTGCCATCCATGGATTCTGTCAGTGTTTTGATCTGTTCACCATCAACATTGCGTGCAGCAGCAACCACAGCCTCCCAGACACTGTTCAGAGAGGTGTACTGTTTTCCCTCCTTGTAAATCTCACATTTGATGATGGACCACAGGTTCTCAATGGGGTTCAGATCAGGTGAACAAGGAGGCCATGTCATTAGTTTTTCTTCTTTTATACCCTTTCTTGCCAGCCACGCTGTGGAGTACTTGGACGCGTGTGATGGAGCATTGTCCTGCATGAAAATCATGTTTTTCTTGAAGGATGCAGACTTCTTCCTGTACCACTGCTTGAAGAAGGTGTCTTCCAGAAACTGGCAGTAGGACTGGGAGTTGAGCTTGACTCCATCCTCAACCCGAAAAGGCCCCACAAGCTCATCTTTGATGATACCAGCCCAAACCAGTACTCCACCTCCACCTTGCTGGCGTCTGAGTCGGACTGGAGCTCTCTGCCCTTTACCAATCCAGCCACGGGCCCATCCATCTGGCCCATCAAGACTCACTCTCATTTCATCAGTCCATAAAACCTTAGAAAAACCAGTCTTGAGATATTTCTTGGCCCAGTCTTGACGTTTCAGCTTGTGTGTCTTGTTCAGTGGTGGTCGTCTTTCAGCCTTTCTTACCTTGGCCATGTCTCTGAGTATTGCACACCTTGTGCTTTTGGGCACTCCAGTGATGTTGCAGCTCTGAAATATGGCCAAACTGGTGGCAAGTGGCATCTTGGCAGCTGCACGCTTGACTTTTCTCAGTTCATGGGCAGTTATTTTGCGCCTTGGTTTTCCACACGCTTCTTGCGACCCTGTTGACTATTTTGAATGAAACGCTTGATTGTTCGATGATCACGCTTCAGAAGCTTTGCAATTTTGAGACTGCTGCATCCCTCTGCAAGATATCTCACTATTTTTGACTTTTCTGAGCCTGTCAAGTCCTTCTTTTGACCCATTTTGCCAAAGGAAAGGACGTTGCCTAATAATTATGCACACCTGATATAGGGTGTTGATGTCATTAGACCACACCCCTTCTCATTACAGAGATGCACATCACCTAATATGCTTAATTGGTAGTAGGCTTTCGAGCCTATACAGCTTGGAGTAAGACAACATGCATGAAGAGGATGATGTGGACAAAATACTCATTTGCCTAATAATTCTGCACTCCCTGTTATATATATAGTATATATATATATAGTAAATATATATGTAAATATTATTATTATATATATATATATAATATATATATACAATATATAAATATATATAATATTATACAATAATATAATATATATATAACAATATACATATAGATATATAATAATTAATATATAACATATATATATATAATATACAATATATATATATATACATATATAGCCTATTAGTAGCCTATTATTATTACACGAATAATAACTCCTCTTTGATCATAAATGAATACATGTTCGTACATGCACATTCCAGTGCAGAATGCAAGCTCCATAAAGGCGTGGCTGAATGAGTTTGGTGTGGCCTTAAACTCAGCCCCATCATACAGCTTTAACATGAACTAGAAGAGCGATTGTGAGAAAGAAATGTAATGGCTCATAAGTACTTTAAATACATCTTTAATACCTTTTAACGTTTTTATTGTATCGAGTCTGGAAAAGACTCAATACAATAACAGATGATAACGTGTGACAGATGATAACAGCAGATGCGATTTGAAATCCATATGCTAGACTAAACTAAACTAACTAAACTAAACATAAGACTAAACCAGACAGTATTCGTAGTGTCAGATTTTCTTTCCGTAGAACCCAAATGAGCGCTCCAGGACCGGAGCAGGTGGAGAAGCGATACGATCCACTAGATTCTACCCTAAAGTTCGTCAACAGGCCAGATGATCTGAATCCACTGTGTAAGATTTTTTTTTCTTTTTCACCACCATGTTGCCCCACAAAAACTGCTACAAATATTTTTTTCTGACAGTCATTACCACACATTATAAAATTTCTCCTATTCCTTTTTTAAATTTTTCATGAGCCACGGAGTTTATTATATTTTGGTGCAATCCAGTATATGTAGTGTAACTGATACATCTGTTATTGTCCACTTCTTCCTCAGGTGATGACTCTCTCAGAGCAGAGATGTCCTGTGGCCACGCTGTCACTCCTGAATCTCTACACGATGGTGTCGTACCTTGCTGGATCAGGTGTGTCATGTCTTTGTAGCAGATAGTGTATGTGATGGGGTGGAGCCGAACCGGAATACGTATTCGGAAAGGAACAAATATTGTGTTTTTTATGAATACTTATTTCGAACAAATACTTTAAAAAATATTTGTATTCGGGAACAAGAAAAACTTCATATTAAAAAGCTGAGTTACCTTATGAGACTGCAGTGCATGACCAGATGAATGAGTGACGTGTGAAAGGTGACTGACACAGGCTGCTCCACACAGCAACAGAGAAGACTCAGCTGAGCAATAAAAGACTGAACTGCATCACTATTTTTGTTGAATAGAATTTTTGTACCCTCGGCTGTTGACAGAGTAACGTTAAAGTTCGGTTTAAAAGGTTAAAACAATGCTTGTGTAGTTGTGTTGAATTGTATGCACTTGTGGGAGTTGGTACATTTAAGTTACTCGTCTTTTGCAGACAGAAAGATGTAGGCTATAGGCCAGTTAACCTTAGCAGAGCTTCCCGTTGTCCTTATTAACGTAGCTGAAACTCCCCACATGGATTTGGTCAACTCAATAGAAAAGAGTGTGGCTGCTGCTGAGCCATCTCTTGGTCCTCCACCAGCCAAAAAACTTGTTCCAGTTCTGTGTGGAAGCATTTTACATTCAGTGCTGCAGATGAAACCAAAGTGATATGTAATGTGTGCAAAAGTCAAATCAGCAGAGGCAGAGATATCAAACATCTGTCAACATCTGTTATGCATAATCACATGCACTTAAAGCATCTTATTCCTGGTACTGTCTGCCAATCCCCCCACAATTACAGCCATGTTCTGTCCCTGCAAGCCAGTTTCACTGTCTGTTCACCACCACCCGTCCAAGGTGGTGGGGGTTCATAATGTTCACAGTGGTATTTTACTAGTTGTTGGTTTTAACCATGAATGAGGCAATGGATGTTATTTTCTTTTCAATGAGGTTCCTTGTTACATGTTCATTGCTGGATTTATGGAAAACCATCAACTAATATTGCACATCCATAATTATTATAATGGATATAATTAAAGAAGCATTACACTCTAACATTAATTAGAAGTGTAATGCAAAAAACTGGTTTTTACACCTATTTTGAATTTTACTCAAATACAAATACATACAAATACGGTCTGTTATTATAGTTATTATATAATTCCATCTAAAATTTAGTCTTTGGAGTTTTTG